TTTCCCAACCATGAAATTTGCACCTTATTCCATCTTACCATTTTTTCTCTATCTCTTGCCAGATCTTCAGTTAATTATTTTTGAAAAGTTCCACATTTTTAGTTGTTATTGTTATTCCTAGATATTTGGTGGACTTAACAATTTTAATATTCGATATCTTTTCCAATTCATCTCTCTCTTTCTTATCCAAATTCATTGTTAGCATTGATGTTTTCTCTTCATTTACATGCAGTCCTGAAACTAGTCCAAACTGATTTAATTTAGCTAGTAACTGTTCTAAATTTTCAATTGTGTTTGCTAAGGTGATCAAAAGGTCACCTGCAAATGCCTTTACTTTATGTTCTGTACCTTTGATCTTAATATTTTTAATGTTACCATCCCCTCTAATGGTAATCATTAATGTTTCTAACACAATGATAAATAAGAGGAGGAAAGTATACAACCTTGACTTGTTCCTTTTTGAATAAAAATAGATTTAGACTTTTCACTATTTACCATGATCTTTGCCAATTGTTTTTGATAGATTGCATTAATCCATGCACCAAATCTATCTCCTACCTCATTTTTCTTTAGTACCTCTTGTAAAAAATAATAATAATAACCAACTGAAATTGTCAAATGCCTTTTCTAAGTCTATGAAAATCATAGACAATTTGGTGTCAATTTTTCCCCCATGATAGCCAGTTAAATTCAAGACATGCCTCAGATTATCCTTAATTCATCTATTTGGCAGAAAGACTCTCTGGTGTCTCCCTATCCAGTTAGCTAAGGTTTTTTGTTTTTGTTTTTGTTTTAGTCTTTCTGCCATTATAGAGGCAAAGATCTTATAATCACTATTAAGGAGGGAAACAGGTCTATAATTTTTGGGTTCCAACCCATCTCTCCCTTCTTTAGGTATTAAAGTAATATGAGCCTCAAGGCATGTTTTGGGTATATTGCCTTCTCTTATCTCATTAATAGTTTCCAACAATGGGCCTGCTAATTGATCTATGATGGAATTTTTCTTGAGATTCATTAGAAAGCTCAGAAAAATAGGAGAGATTGATTTAATCTCACCAGCAAAGTAAACACAGCAGAAAGTGCATGAGCAAGAAAGCAAACTAATCCACTCTTATTCTCCCAGCCTCCATGCATCTTCCAATAAAGAACCAAGACAAAGTCCTTAGAGTAATATAAAAAGGTAAATTTTACTTACAAAATCATGTGCATATTCATTCACAGGTAAAACTTCATGTTGCAAAGAAAATGAGGTAGAAAAAAGTTTCACATGCTTGCCAAGAAAGTTTCTTATCAGCATGCTAGAAAGTCATTCTGCTCCGGACAAAGGACAAAGAAGAAGGATAAGGTAATGACAATCTGTCCAGAGACAAAAAAAAGTGTGCTCTTAGAAGAAGGAGATTTGTTTTTGTATACTCTTAATTTTGTCCAAAACAGTCTTGTTTTCTGGATCGATGATTCCTTTTATCATTAAGTTCTTTTTCCAGTCTTTCTAATTCTTGTGATCATCTTTTTCTTTTCTTTTCACTCCTTTTTTTCATAAAAAACCCCTCATAACTGCCTTTGATGTTTCCCAAATTATATCTGTACTTATCCCTGGAGTCCTGTTTTCCTGAAAATAGTTATTTAAATGTTCCTTTGCCAATTTCACAATATTATCATCCTTCAGTAGTGTCTCATTTAACCTCCACTTGAACACTTTTTTTATTTTGTTCTATTTTCATAACTATTGGGTTATGGTCAGACATGAAATTGGGTCAAGCTTCAATTGAGTTAACTTTAGTAGATAACATTGTAGAAGTTAAAATTTGTCTAACCTTGCCCATGATTTATGTGGCTCTGAAAAGAAGGTATATTCCTTAACTTGATCATATTTCACTCTCCAAGTGTCTACCAACATAAATATATCCAGCATTTCAAAAAATTCCTTTGGTAATTTCCCCTGACCCGGCTTAATTTTTTTTTCCAGAAAACCTATCCAGTTTTGGTTTTATAACACCATTAAAGTCACCCATAACCATTAGGGAGTCAAATTCTATGTCATGTATTTTATTAATCAATTCATGGTAAAAACAAACAAACAAACAAACAAAACCTTCCTTTATTTTCCAAAGGAGCATAAATTCCAAGTACAAATATTTTTTAACCTAATAAATCTACCTGGACACCAATATAGTGTCCTTTGTAGTCTTTCATTATTTTTCCAGGCTCATATTTATTTTTAAAATCAAGTACTACACCTTTCTTTCTGTTGTCTGCTACCGAAACAAATTCTTGGCCTAATTTGTCATTTTTAAGGTATTTAGAGTCCTCTTTTTTAATTTTTATTTCCTGCAGGCAGGTGATATTATTATTCATCTTTGACAAATAGTGAAAAAAATGTTTTCCATTTGATCACATTATTAATACCCTTTATATTCCAAGATGTTGCTTTAATAGATCTACTCATTACCATCTAAATCTAAAAGGGCTCCCTATAAGTTTCCTCTTTGTTGTTGCTCTTCTGAATCAGTATTAACTTCCTCTTCGAATTCTCAGTATGAACTAATCAATTGTTCTCCAACCACATTTATAATTTTACCTACTACTTGCTGGTTTACAGTTTTCCCTTCTTCCAATTTTTTATCTCTTTCTCTAATCCTATTATTTCCTTTGACTAGTTCCTTTCTTATTTCATCTCTTTCATCTCTTGTGATTTATAACCCTCTTCTCTATATTCTTGGTCTCTAGTTTCTCTTTCCTTTGTTGCAATGTTTTTATACTCACATCTTCCATCCCTTCCAAAATCCTTCCAATAATATTCCCAAAATTTCTTAGCTTCTTGAATCAATGTGATTTCAATTTTCTTTTTTTAAAAAAGAAGGTTAATCCTTCTGGAAATATTCAATGATAATTTAGTTGGATTTCCCTTCTTTGAGTAGTCAAGAAAAAAATATTCTTTCCATTTTTAAAAGATTTTAGAACAGACATCTTTAAAGATCTGTATCAATTGTTCCTTAATTGTTAAGGGTTTTTCAATTTATCGTCTCAATATTAGGTCTCATGTATGTTTCCTTACAAAGTAGACCATGATGTCCCTCGGTAATTTCTTATGCTGGGCCACTCTAGCGTTCAACTGAAATAATTTATCAGTTTCAATTTCAAATAAGTGACAATCTTTTCCTATATATTCTGCTAATATTGGGATGAACTCATTATACAAATCCTCTCATTCTTGTTCTAGAACACCCCAAAATTTCAAACATTTCCCCC